TTAAATTAGCATCACATGAAATGCCTACAGAATTACTAAATCTGTTGTTAGGAGACACTGCTGAATGCAAACATTTCCGTACCTACATTAGAATGTACAATAACATGTTTGCATTTACTTCTCTTGGAGTAAAATATGACAAAGAGCTAGCAAAAAGATATCATGGTATATACACCTTTAGAGTTCAAGGACAAATGTATCATTTCATTGATAATGTATTACCTTCAAATCAACAATTATATATTTATGATGATGATACTGAAATGTTGAATCGTATGGCTTCTTCCAGTATTGCTGATCAATCAGTTGTTCAAAAATTAATGAATATATTAAAGATAAATCCTTACTGTATCTTTCTAAAATCTCTAATGCAAGTTCCGAAAGTACCAAACTTGTATATTGCACTCAATTGTGACTCTACATTAAATCAACAAGTTTATAACCTACCGACAGTTTCAGAAGTGGCGGCAATATGGTTAGACCAACAACCAAACAATAGTAGCTCTACACCACATATTCAAATTTATCCTTGTAGCAACACCAATCAATTAGTCAATTATTACTATGGTTGCTATGATCCTTTACAGTATCCATTGTTATTTCCATTTGGTCAAAATGGTTGGCATTGTGGAATTAAAAGAGTTGAACAGATTTGCAAGAAAAAAATTCGATCTCAATGTGAAAATGAACAACTTCCAAGTTTATCAAATATGTGTTCTATTGAGGGACTGCTTGATATAGAAGCTAAAGTACTACAAAAAAGAAAACGAAAAAGAGATGACATCTCTTGTCGTGAATACTATTGTTATAAATTTCAAATGAGACATAATGAAATAAATGGAGTATTACATTCGGGAAGACTTTTCCAACAATACTCAGTTGATGAGTTCATAAAAATTGAAACTCAAAGGCTAGATTTTGTCTCGTGTAATCAGGATTTATTTCGGACTGATCCATTACAAGGGCTTATTGATTTTCATACACATGGTGACAGAGATGCTTCAAAAGTAGGGAAACAAACATTTCTTCCTGTAAGCTTTACAGGAGGTCCTAGAGATATGCGTCAACGTTATATGGATGCTATTACGTTAGTTCAACATTTTGGAAAACCTGATATATTTCTTACTATGACTTGTAATCCTTCTTGGCCAGAAATAGAAGAATATTTACTGTCAACGGATGAAGCTCAAAATAAACCTGATTTGATTTGCCGAGTATTCAAAGCAAAAGTTGAAGAGCTAAACACAGATATATTTAAAAAAAACATATTTGGAAAAGTTGTTGCAATTATGTACACTATTGAGTTTCAAAAACGAGGCCTTCCACATGCTCATTTTCTTCTAATTCTTAATGATGATTTCAAATTAATTACTCCCGAATCATATGATCAAGTTGTTTCTGTTGAGCTTCCTGATATAAATGAAAGTCCTTACTTACATAAACTTGTTAAAAAACATATGATGCATGGTCCTTGTGGTTATTTAAATCCTACAAATTCATGTATGAAGAAAAAAGGAATTTGCAAATTCAGGTACCCAAAGAATTTTGCTGACAAAACAACAAAAGGAAAAAACTCATATGCAGTCTATAGAAGAGGAAATACAGGCGAGCATGTCGAGGTTAGAAAACAACTTCTTGACAATTCATGGGTAGTACCTTTTAACCCCTACCTACTATGCAAATTTAATTGTCATATCAATGTCGAAGTATGTTCTGATATAAAGGTTGTCGAAGTATGTTCTGATATAAAGGTTGTCAAGTATATCTATAAATATATTTGTAAAGGACACGATAAAATATCCTTTTCTATACGGGAGGATGATACAAATGTTGAAATAGATGAAATAAAAGAATATCAATCTGCTAGATGGGTATCTGCACCAGAAGCTGTATGGCGTTTATTTGCTTTCCCCATTAGCGAAATGAGTCCATCTGTTTATCATCTTCAACTGCACCTCGAAAACCAACAATTTGTTTCTTTTAAAACAGCTGATAACATAGACAAAATCATGAATAACCCCATGATTAGGAAAACAATGTTAACAGAATATTTCCTAATGAATAGAACAAATGAATATGCTAAACAACTCAATTTATTATATAAAGAATTTCCATAATATTTTGTGTGGTCAAAATCATACAAAATTTGGACACGAAGACAACGAGGTCATGTTATTGGCCGTCTTGTCACATGTCATCCAACAGAAGGAGAGAGATATTATCTTAGACTTCTACTAATGAATGTAAGATCCCCTGAGTCATACCAACAGGGCCGTCTTAATCACTAGGCCACTAAAGCCACCGCTTGGGGCCCCATATTTTTGGGGGGCCCCATTTTTAAAAAAAAAGTACTTATATATATACTTAAAAAAATTATATTTACTTTTAATTTTTTTAAAAAAAAAAGGTAAAAGTACCGTTAGTTTGATAGTTTTTAATTAAGGAATGGGTGGAACAATTTTTGGGAATACTAAACGTGCAAAAATTAAAAAAAAAAGAAGGTAAAGTGCTTTTAATTTTAATTAGGGTCTATGGAAATGAACAATTTTTGGAATAATTTCCAGGAGTGAGAAATGATGCTTCCTTATTTATCTCCCAAGACTTTAACCATATATTATTATATACCTTAATACTCATCTTTTTTATTCTCTATTTTATTATTTTTATTCTCAATATTGAACTCTCTCCTACAAAATCTTTTGATATACTATTGCTTACAAGTTTGAAGTTCAAAAAGAATAAAATTTACTTTTGGGTATTTTCTGCGCATTTCAAGAAGTGCAACCAGTAATCATTCTATTGAAGGAGTCAAGAAACACACCATTATTTCGATATTATTATATCAACTTATCAAATTTGTGAGTCAAGTTTTATTATTCTAACTTTATTTTATAGCTTTTCTTAAAAATTTGTTATTGTTGATATTCTTAGTTCATAAGCATATATATTCTTGTTTTAGTTATTATTACAATTTATTTAATTTAAATATGTCAACTAGAAAATATGATTCTAGTTTTACAGAAAGAGAGAAAAAGAGAAAACTAGAGGAATTAAATAAATCCCAAAAAAGGAGCCATTGATAGATTTTTAACAAATAATAAAAATTCTAAATCAAAAAATATTGGAGGGTGTTCTTCAAATGAACAAGTCACTAACCGAATTGAGTTAGATGATAATAACATCCAAGAAGAAAATCTAGAAGAAGTTGGTGAAAAATGTGACATAGTTCCCTATAATTAAGAACTCCTAAGTAATTTAAATAGTTGCATCCATAAAAATATATATGACCCAAGTCAATGGAATAATACAGATACAAAATTGAGAGATCTATTAGTATAAAAGGGACCAATTAGAATGATTAATATAAATTTTCCAAAGGATAAACACTTACGACATTTTTCTACAACACACTATATTCAAAAATTGGCAAATGGAGAAAAACATGAAAGAAAATGGTTATTTTACTCTAAAGATTTGGATAAAGTTTTTTGTTTTTGTTGTAAATTATTTAGCATAAGATGAGAATTTAAAATAGCACTGTCTTAACCTTGAACTTTCTTTAACACATAGTAGTTATTCTGATATTAATGGTTTAGATTTATTTTTTGAATTAAAAGTGTTAGGAGAAATAATACAAGTAGAAAATAATGATCTAATGGAAATACTCAATCTAATAAAAAGACTTGATTCTTTTCCTAATGCATGTATTGCTTATAGAATAATGTTAACAATTCCTATAACCATTGCCTCAGCCGAAAGAAGTTTTTCGAAAATAAAATTGTTAAGATAAACAATGTCTCAAGAGAGATTGAATGGATTAGCTATATTATCAATTGAAAAAGAATTACTAAAACAAATCGATTATAAAAACAGTAATTAATGAATTCGCATCTAAAAATGCTAGAAAAGTAGATTTTAAATTATATATAATGATTTTTTTAAATTTTTTTAGGGCCCCTCTCTATGATTTGGCTTTTGGCCCCCAATGTTGTTGAGTCGGCCCTGCATACCAAGATCTTAGAAAAATAGATGGAAAATACTACGACACATTTAGAGAATCTGCAGAAAAAAGAGGATTGTTACATCATAATAACAACTTGGTTGACTGCATGACAGAGGCTGTATGTTATCAAATGCCTTATAGCTTGCGACATCTATTTGCTACAATATTAGTATATTGCAATCCTGATAATCCAAAAGAACTATGGGAACAATTTGAAGAGTCAATGTCTGAAGACTTCAACAAATTACCAAACATGGATCCAAAAAAAACAAGGCATTCAGTTTTGAACCATATTAATGATGTATTACATACCATGGGACATGATGTAAATGAGTATAGATTGATTTCTGAAAATGTTGTGAGTTCAAGGGTAGAGTCAGAGGCAAAAGATGTTAATTTTGAAAGGAATATAGTTGTTACTAAAGAAGATTTGCTATTATATAAAAAACTGAATACCGAACAAAAAAAAGCATATGATATTATCCTTCAAAGAGTACTTACTAACGAATCAGGTGCTTTTTTCATTGATGGTCCGGGAGGAAGTGGTAAAACATTTTTGTATCGTGCTTTATTGGCCACTGTAAGATCTAAAGGTTTCATAGCTTTGGCGACAGCAACTTCTGGTGTTGCGGCATCTATACTTCCTGGAGGACGAACAACCCATTCACGTTTCAAAATTCCAATTAATATTGACGAGCAGTTCTCCTGTAACATCAGTAAGCAAAGCTCTCTCGCATCTTTAATTCGTGATGCAAAATTAATTATATGGGATGAGGTATCAATGTCAAAAAAAAATATGATTGAAGCTCTTGATTTGCTTATGAAAGACCTAACTGAAACAAATATACTCTTTGGTGGAAAAGTCATAGTGTTTGGAGGTGATTTTAGGCAAACGCTTCCTGTTGTCCGAAGTGGAAAATAGGAAGACTTTATTTCTGAAAGTATTTTAAACTCCAGAATTTGGAATCAACTTGAAAAATTGAGACTATCAGAAAATATGCGTGCAAGGACTGATCCTGTTTTTTGTGAATATCTTATGAGAATTGGGAATGGAAAAGAAAAAACAAATATTAACAATAAAATAGCAATCCCAAAGCAGTTCATCATTCCTTTTACTACTGAAAAAGAGTCATTAGATCTTTTGTTCAAAGTGATATATCCGAATTTACATACATCTTTCAATGACTCTTCTTTTATGACATCTCGTGTTATCTTGACTACAAAGAACGACTTTGTTGATGAACTAAATGATAGACTCATAACTCAATTTCCAACAGTTGCTAAAATATTCATAGCTGCTGATGAGACTATTGAACCAAACGATCAACCTCAATTTGAGGACTTCTTACACACTCTAAATGTTCCTGGCTTACCTCCGTACAGATTAGTGTTAAAGCAAAACTGCCCTGTTATATTATTGCGAAATTTAAATCCTTCTGAAGGCTTATGTAACGGTACACGATTGGTGTGCTGTGATTTCAAAACACATGTTATAAGTTGTAAAATTGCAAGTGGTGACTTCAAAGATAAGCACGTATTTATTCCAAGAATACCATTACTATCATCAGAGGATGAAAAAATACCTATTCCTTTTAAAAGAACACAGTTTCCTATACGTCTATGCTTTGCAATGACTATAAATAAAGCACAAGGACAAACATTAGATTATGTTGGTATATATTTACGTGAACCAGTTTTTTCCCATGGTCAATTATATGTTGCTTTATCAAGAGCGAAAAGTTCAAACTGTATAAAAATATTGATTTGACCTCCTACTGCAGATAATGATGATGACCACTCAACTTGTAATGTAGTATACAATGAGATCATTCAAAAAGTTTTGTTATGAACATATTCCAGGTATCTCGATAACTGACTAAGATGTGCCAACATTTATGCAACTACTGCACAGAATAGATACAGAATGTTCACTTATGATGTAGGCTTATTATGTAAGTCACTCAATCCTGCTTCTTCTTACAGTGGTTGCAAACTATCATACAACTCAAACAAACTGATAAACCAACTACTTACTCATGCAAAACAAATGATGATTCATCAAGACTACACTATTGGTACCCTCGTGAACGAAACCATTATCCCAATACAAAACCACAACTTTCCCTGCTCCTTCAAAAAGGTTTCCATTATTACTAATTTAATACTAACAGTCACTTAAACTCATGTTTTCCAACTTTTCCTAATATCATTACTTCTATCACATTTCAAGTTATACATTCTTATTTCTGTTCTCAGTTCAATTGCCTGTTCTAACACCCAGTAACCATTAAAAAGGTTCTCTTTGTTTTGAATTACCCCATTTCTGTTTAAAACAAATTAGCTTATTCTTCCATTTGAATGTTGACGACATAACATCTACAGTATTAAGAAGGCACTCAATAATTTCACTTTTCGTTTGTCATGCTTCAATAGGCTTGGTATCTCTGTCATCCACACGCTGAGAAGGTGCTCCACACCATTCAGGAGTAAAGTTAGTTGTACTGTCAAATTTTGACATTCAATTAAAATCACTGTTGAAAACTCTTCAGTTGTAATCACTGCTCAGCTAAGGTAATGTATTTGTTCTCTTTCCTTTTCCTTCCATTTCATACTTTCTCATTCGATAGTTCATATTCTATTTGGCTTTTCAGAGGTTAAATAGCACATGACATACTTTTCGGCTAACCAACTATATGGACTTAGATAGCAGCTAATGGAATATTCAGATTAGGATAAAAGATTAATCAGGTACCAATAGTCATAATACTACTACGTAGTTTCTTCTTATTTGATTCTCTTATACTTTGATTATCATCTTATTTTGTTGTAGTTATTGTTACATTTTCGAACATACAACTTCTCTCGTACTTTTCCTATCTTCTTATCAAAGTGGTAGTAGTAATCTGTTTGAAAATTTTTTGCAGCATTATATTCCCTCTAATGTAGCTATGGATGAAAGAATTATCAAAAATTGTCAGCTACTTAGTGTAATACAATACTTATTGATTAATCATGTGTCCATGTCTTATTTTGTAAGAGATTTGATGATGTTTTAATATTTTTGAAATCTCAAACCAAATGTTATCTTTGTGCTTGCATGTATTATGTTTTTTATTGCTAAAACTTAGAATGTTAGTTTTCTTGTGTTTAATATTGTCCATCTTATTTTGTGGCAAATTATCGTGATGCTTCATAATTGTTGCAAGTGCTATTGCACTATATTGATGGGAAAAATAAGGCTTTCAACATACTACATGAAGAATTATGCTTTCTTCAAAAGATTTCTTCTTATATTTTCTTATTTGTTGATTCGATTTTCTCATCTGTTTGATTCGATTTTCAGAATCTGTTGCTGTCATAGATTGCCTTTTCACTGAATTATTATTATATCTACCGTTTTTCCTTTTCCTATGCTACTTTTGAATAACACTTTAGGTTAAATCCACAGGAAAATGTTGCTGCTGATCTCCTGTTTTCATTCAAAGTTTGGAACACGAAAGGCTATCATCTAAGCACAAAAACAAATGTGTTTCCCTCAGATAGCCTAACCTCACTTTTACGTGTGTGTATGTTTCATTAGTTGTATACTAAAATTCCATGATATCACATAAATTGAGAAAAAAAATACTAATATATATTGGGCCCCGTGCTGGCACGGGGTCCTGTATCTAGTTATTACTATATATTGGAAGAGTCTAGGAATTACTACCATTGTTCCAATAAAATCACTACAAATGTCCAATACTTACTATATAAAATATATAAGTGGGCCCCACCACCTTCCACTTAAATACTACATATTATATATTATTAATTACTATACTATAAATCACTACTAATATCCAATATATTTATCAAACTATATAAATGGGCCCCATCACCTTCCACTTAAATACTACATATTATATATTAATTACTATACTATAAATGACTTAAATACTCCATATTATCTATTACAATAATTAACAATTATTTGACACTTTAAATTCTATCAATGCCATATAAATTAGGATAAAAAACCTAACATATAATATTTAAATATATTTAAAAATAATATAAGTAATACTATACATTACAATAATTAACAGCTTAATTATTTAAAACTTATATAAAAAATTTAATTGACTCTATAAATTCTATTGGTGCCACATAAAATGGATTATATGATAAACATATATTGTTTGAAATTGAAGAAAAAGAAACAATAAATTACAATAATTAATAAAAAAAATAGTCGACGAAATTGACGAAAAACAAATTATAAATTACAATAATTAACAAAATAAATCTCTCGAGTCCAACAAATCTATCATTTAATGCCACATAAATTGGGACATGGCAAATAACATATATTATTTAAAAATTAGGTTCAAAATGTACTATAAAATACAATAATTAACAACTTAATATATTAAAGAGACATATAAAAAAGGGTTAATATTTGAAATTTTGCATCTGCCACATAAATTAGAACAAATAGAGTAATAAATATTATTTTCAAAATTATGTTAAAAAAAAGTACTACAAATCACAATAGCTAACAATTTAAAATATTTTTAAAATCATATAAAAATTTCAATAACTTCTCAAATTCCATAATATGACATAAATTTTTTAAAAAAAGTGTTATAAATCATAATAAATAGTACAATATTTCAACTACTTTAAAAGTAATATAAATTGTAATAAATAATACAACAATTTAAATTACTTAAAATTTAACGACTTAAAAATTATTTTTTAAAATGTATTAAAATTTTGGTTAATTGTCAAAACTTTACATGTGCCACATAAATTGGGACATGGACAGTCACACATATTTTTTTTAAAAAAATTACATTAAAAGTATTCTATCAATTAACAACATATATTGTTTGAAATTGACGGAAAAAAAACTATAAATTACAATAATTAACAAAATAAATCTCTCGACTCCAACAAATCTATCAATTAATGCCACATAAATTGGGACATGGCAAATAACATATATTATTAAAAATTAGGTTCAAAATGTACTATAAAATACAATAATTAAAAACTTAATATATTAAAGAGACATATAAAAAATGGTTAATATTTGAAATTCTGCGTGTGCCACATAAATTAGTACAAACAAAGTAATAAATATTATTTTCAAAATTATGTTAAAAAAAAGTACTACAAATCACAATAGCAAAAAAATTAAAATATTTTTAAAATCATATAAAAATTTCAATAATTTCTCAAATTCCATAATATGACATAAATTAAAATTAAAAAATAATATATATTGGGCCCCGTGCTGGCACGGGGTCCTATATCTAGTACTCCCTCCGTCCCTATTTACTTATCCATATTTCCTTTTTTAGTTGTCCCTATTTTGTTGTCCATTTTGACAAATCAAGAAAGGACAACAAATTTTTTCCTATTATACCCTTATTTACACTTCTTGAAAATTGTAAAAGTGTATGTTGTTTCCCTCCAATTTATTTCACTTGAATTCAAATAAGTGGTTGTTATTTTGAAGTGAAAAGTTGTCATAAGGGTAAAATTGTAACTTCACTGTGCTAATCATTGTTGTCTTAATCTGTGTGCCATTTCTAAAGTGGACAACTAAAAAGGGACGGAGGGAGTACTATATAAGAAGAGTGAATAAACACACTCTTCTCCATCGACACGTGGCACAAAAAAAAGAAGAGGGTTGAACTGGACCCCATCAAAAAGCTACAAATGAATAAATTGGCTGAATTAAAATAGGAATAAAAAAGTGGAAGTTGCCTAGGTTCAATCTGCTAATTATGAGAGGAAGCACACAGCCTGACATGTTGATGGTCAACTGTGTGCTCCTACCCGCTTCAAATATTCTTCATATTTAACACTTCGTGCAAAAAAAAATAGATGAAACAATTAAAATCGAAGAAATAATATAAATAATTTATTAATGAATGAATGAATTAATAAATAATATTAAAAGATCCTTGGAGGATAGAAATTGGAAATAGTAAAATATAAGAACAATGCAAGGAAAAATGAAATGGTGTACAAAAGTAATAATAGGGCCCACACAATTTAAACTAGCCGTAAAAGAGGAAAAAAAGCAAATGATTTTTGTGTCCAACAAAAAGGAAGTACATTTATGAAGCAGGCAAGTACAATCATTTTTCAAGTTTGAAAAGTACGAAATACCATAAAACAATTATTTGAAAATTTTAGTACTTTCTTCATTTAAATTTTTCCTTGTTTTTTTTTTAAATTTGTTCTATATTTCAAAATTTAATAAGTACTTAAAATTACAATGTAATAATATAAGATATTAAAAAAAACATAATTAAAAATCATAAAAGAAATTTTATTCACCCTTTAATTCCATATTGAAACAAAAGAAGTTTGTTTGAAAATAACATAAAAAGTACGGTAAATTAAAGTAAAATAACAACTAAAAATATTTAAGAATCATATAAAAAATTTAGTTGACTTTCGTAAAAGTACCTACATCACATAAAATGGAACAGAAGGAGTAATATATATTATTTGAAAATGATATAAGAAGTGCTATAAATGACAATAAATTAACAACTTCAAAATATATTTAACAAAATCACATGCAAAAAATTATATAACTCTCCAAATTTCATCGGTGTCACATAAATTGAAACAAAGAACTACTCCCAATTTATGTGACTTACTTTCCTTTTTAGTCAGTCCCAAAAGAATGTCACATTTCTATATTAAGTAAAATAATTTACAATCATACAAATTTATATAATTCATTTTGGACCACAAGTTTTAAAAGTCTTCGTTTCTTTCTTAAATTTCGTGGCGAATCAAACTACCTCACATAAATGAGATGGAGGAAGTAATATATCTTGGGCCCGTGCTGGCGCGGGAACCTAATATCTAGTATATATATAAAGGAGGACCATAGACAAGGTGATGTGACACCTCTCTATGACCTCCATTCATTTTTTATTTTTTGTAAATCCTTTTTTGATCATTTTTCTTAATTTAATTATTTATTTTATTTTTAATATCTCATAAAGTCTTTATATTCAACTACTCAACTTTTCACCTCCCACTATAATATATCTTCTTTATTAGATATGATGTGCATATATTTATAACTCTCATAATTTTAACTTTTCATATTTATAACCCTTAAATATTAAATATGAAACCTTATGGTATTCCTCCATTATTTTCTATATAAATTCATATTTTCTGTTTCATGAGATTTTATCCAAAGTTACCTTTCATTTTCACCATAGTATTATATTCATGCTTTTATTTGGCCTGAAAAAGAAGGAGAAGAAGAAGAAGGCTCTTGAATAGTGATAGACTTTTGAAGTGGATATTGACACGAACTTAGATAATTATGTATTGATTTCTTTTTCCTTCTATTTTTTAATGATATGTGTATTGTACTTTTTCTTTTTTTCTTTCTTTATTTTTCCTCTCTTTTTATTCTTATATATCTCTATGATGCCTCTTAAATTTAATTTTATGTGAAGAAA